GTGCACGTTTTTTTATAAAAGTTATTTCCTTGCGTTGACAATTTAAATGTGCTGCATTATTTTGCTCATTGCGCCCTCCTGTGGCCTCGGGAGACAATTAGACATATACAATAAAGACCTATTTAATCTGCATATAAAACATTAGATATTTGTTTAATTTTTATTGTGTTTGATTGTTAAAAGAAAAAATATTTGTTGTTTGTCTCAATAAATTGGGTTAATTTAAAAATACAGTGGTTAAATTTAAACATTTTTTCTATTGCTCTTTGTTTTAAAAAAGGTTATAAAAAATTTCAATAATTATCGATACCGAACGATATGAAACATTATATCATTGATACATTTTTTAGCTATATCGCCCAGCCCTATAAAATGCTTTGGTGACCAAACCATTGCAATCGCCGTTTCTGAATCTGCTCCTTGATCGTTGGCTGATATTCCCATCGACAGCGAATATCCGCATTTCGAAGATGGTCACGAAGGGAAACTCTAATAATCTGGAGTAGGTGCCGCATTTGAAAGACCTCAAGTTTGGCCAGATCTAATTTAAGTAACGTCCAAGTTTCTGATCCATAGAGGAGAACTGGCAGGATTAAGGTCCGAAAGAGGTGGACTTTGGTTTTGGTGGAATTGTTGGAGCACTTCAAAAGGCACCACTTGAGGGAAGCAAAGACTGCGGCTGCTTGACCAATTCAAGTGTGGACTTCTGCTGTAGTCACTACTTTCCTCTCTTGTACGGTTGTTCCCAGGTATTTAAATTGTTGAACTTGCTCGATTTGGTCACCATCGAGATGAACGATGGCCAATGATCCATCTGTTGCCCCTGTTGTATTCAGTGGGACGCACAGAAACTTTGTTACATATAACGGTCGCGTCGTGTTTGAGCCCAGGTCGTGCATTTGTTTGGTGGGAGGTTAAACTTCGATGGTGGTGCCGGCGCATCTTTTGCTTTGAGTGTAGATCTTCTGCGTTTGTAGAAGGCTAGCGTTCCAAGCAGACATTAGCTGAGACGTACATTTCAATAAAAAAGGAAAAATGTGAGATTACAGACGTTTTCCTATTTATACTGTAATAATTTGATAGATAGATAGATAGATAGATAGATAGATAGATGGATAGATTAGATATTAATTTTCACCATGTTTTCAGGAATAAAATGTTATATAAATCAACGTGAATGATATATGAACAAACCCATCAGTGAAAACATTCAGAATATTGATTAAAACTGTTAATAAAAAAAGTTTGGTGTATGTAAGTGCTGCTGAAGTGGAGAAAAAAAACTCACAGCCTTTAAAGATATTTATTGTAATTAAAATCTACAAATGCAAATAGATAGTGCAATAAAATAAACATTTATGAGTGTATATGTTTTTCTTCCACTAGTTTGAAACAACACATAATGAAAAGCCAAATATCACAAATTCACAAATTTGACTAGTGCAGGTTATACCTGTAGCGTCTTGCCTTAAGAATAGCATCAAGAGCGTCCATGTTGTCTTAAACTTTAGCGTCCATCCTCTCCCGTCAGCATTAAAGGTTTTTTAGCTCATGTCGGTCTGAGTGCTGGTCTCTTATCTGTGAATAGTGCCGCTGTACTTTGCTCTGCTCAGCGCTGATGTTAGAGAACAGCATAATGTTATCGACCCTCCTGTGCTCATCAATACATTCACCTTGCCTCGTCTGCTGTCTTTCTTTCTTTCTCTCTCTCTTTAGCTCATTTCCACTCAGGACGGGTACAGCACCTC